GGAACCCACGGGTTTTAGGAAACCCACGGGTTTTAGGGAACCCACGGATTTTAGGGAACGCACGGTTTTAGGAAACCCACGGATTTTAGGAAACCCACGGGTTTTAGGGAACCCACGGATTTTAGGGAACGCACGGATTTTAGGGACTGCACGGATTTTAGGGAACCCACGGATTTTAGGGAACGCACGGATTTTAGGGAACCCACGGATTTTAGGGAACGCTCGGATTTTAGGGAACCCACGGATTTTAGGGAACGCACGGATTTTAGGGAACCCACGGATTTTAGGGAACGCTCGGATTTTAGGGAACCCACGGATTTTAGGGAACCCACGGATTTTAGGGAACCCACGGACTTTAGGGAACGCACGGGTTAAGGGAACCCACGGGTTTTAGAGAACGCACGGATTTTAGGGAACGCACGGATTTTAGAAAACCCACGGGTTTTAGGGAACGCACGGATTTTAGGGAATGCACGGATTTTAGAGAACGCATGGATTTTAGGGAATGCACGGATTTTAGGGAACGCACGGGTTTTAGGGAACCCACGGGTTTTAGAGAACGCACGGATTTTAGGGAACCCACGGGTTTTAGAGAACGCACGGATTTTAGGGAACGCATGGATTTTAGGGAACGCATGGATTTTAGGGAACCCACGAATTTTAGGGAACCCATGGGTTTTAGAGAACGCACGGATTTTAGGGAACGCATGGATTTTAGGGAACCCACGGGTTTTAGAGAACGCACGGATTTTAGGGAACGCATGGATTTTAGGGAACCCACGGATTTTAGGGAACGCACGGGTTTTAGGGAACGCACGGATTTTAGGGAAACCACGGATTTTAGGGAACGCACGGATTTTAGGGAACGCGCGGATTTTAGGGAACGCACGGATTTTAGGAAACCCACGGGTTTTAGGGAACCCACAGATTTTAGGGAACGCACGGGTTTTAGGGAACGCACGGATTTTAGGGAACGCACGGGTTTAGGGAACCCACGGGTTTTAGGGAACGCACGGATTTTAGAGAACGCACGGATTTTAGAGAACGCACGGGTTTTAGGAAACCCACGGGTTTTAGGGAACGCACGGATTTTAGGGAACCCACGTGTTTTAGGGAACCCACGGATTTTAGGGAACCCACGGATTTTAGGGAACGCACGGATTTTAGAGAATGCACGGATTTTAGGGAACCCATGGGTTTTAGGGAACCCACGGGTTTTAGGGAACCCACGGATTTTAGAGAACGCACGGATTTTAGGGAACCCACGGGTTTAAGGAACCCACGGGTTTTAGGGAACCCATGGATTTTAGGGAACCCACGGATTTTAGGGAACCCACGGATTTTAGGAAACGCACGGATTTTAAGGAACCCACGGGTTTTAGGGAACCCACGGGTTTTAGGGAACCCACGGATTTTAGGAAACGCACGGATTTGAGGGAACCCACGGGTTTTAGGGAACCCACGGGTTTTAGGGAACCCACGGGTTTTAGGGAACCCACGGGTTTTAGGGAACCCACGGATTTTAGGGAACGCACGGGTTTTAGGAAACCCACGGATTTTAGGAAACCCACGGGTTTTAGGGAACCCACGGATTTTAGGGAGCGCACGGATTTTAGGGACTGCACGGATTTTAGGGAACCCACGGATTTTAGGGAACGCACGGATTTTAGAGAACGCACGGACTTTAGGGAACGCACGGGTTTAGGGAACCCACGGGTTTTAGGGAACCCACGGATTTTAGGGAACGCACGGGTTTTAGGGACTGCACGGATTTTAGGGAACCCACGGATTTTAGGGAACCCACGGATTTTAGGGAACCCACGGATTTTAGGGAACCCATGGGTTTTAGGGAACGCACGGATTTTAGGGAACGCACGGATTTTAGAAAACCCACGGGTTTTAGGGAACGCACGGATTTTAGGGAACGCACGGGTTTTAGGGAACGCACGGGTTTTAGGAAACGCACGGATTTTAGGAAACGCACGGATTTTAGGGAACCCACGGGTTTTAGGGAACCCACGGATTTTAGGGAACGCACGGATTTTAGGGAACGCACGGATTTTAGGGAACGCACGGGTTTTAGGGAACGCACGGGTTTTAGGAAACGCACGGATTTTAGGAAACGCACGGATTTTAGGAAACGCACGGATTTTAGGGAACGCAGGGGTTTAGGGAACCCACGGATTTTAGGGAACGCACGGATTTTAGGGAACACACGGGTTTTAGGGAACCCACGGGTTTTAGGGAACGCAGGGGTTTAGGGAACCCATGGATTTTAGGGAACCCACGGATTTTAGGGAACGCACGGATTTTAGGGAACCCACGGGTTTTAGGGAACCCACGGATTTTAGGGAATGCACGGGTTTTAGGGAACCCACGGGTTTTAGGGAACCCACGGATTTTAGGGAACCCACGGGTTTTAGGGAACCCACGGATTTTAGGGAACCCACGGATTTTAGGGAACGCAGGGGTTTAGGGAACCCACGGATTTTAGGGAACCCACGGATTTTAGGGAACGCACGGATTTTAGGGAACGCACGGGTTTAGGGAACCCACGGGTTTTAGAGAACGCACGGATTTTAGGGAACGCACGGATTTTAGGGAACGCACGGATTTTAGGAAACCCACGGATTTTAGGGAACCCACGGGTTTTAGGGAACCCACGGGTTTTAGGGAACCCACGGGTTTCATGGAACCCACGGGTTTTAGAGAACGCACGGGTTTTAGGGAACCCACGGATTTTAGGGAACCCACGGGTTTTAGGGAACGCACGGGTTTTAGGGAATCCACGGGTTTTAGGAAACCCACGGGTTTTAGGGAACCCACGGATTTTAGGGAACCCACGGGTTTTAGGGAACGCACGGGTTTTAGGAAACGCACGGATTTTAGGAAACGCACGGATTTTAGGGAACCCACGGATTTTAGGGAATGCACGGATTTTAGGAAACCCACGGGTTTTAGGAAACCCACGGATTTTAGAGAACTCACGGATTTTAGGGAACTCACGGGTTAAGGGAACGCACGCGAGTTTAGAGGCACCTTATTGACTGTCGGCATTTAAAAAATGTTAAGTGGGAGTTGGGGCGCCGGGCATGTCGCGAGAAGGGATGATGGCCGGGATGTCGAGACTAATGAAGGAGCGCCGGCCAAAGGAGGGAACGCACCACCCCATGGCACCTCCTCCGCGGAGACGGAGCGATTCAATCAGCTGCGCGTGCAAAGCGCTGGGCGGACTGTTCCATTGGCGAGACCGTGAGAGATGGCGACGGCTTTGGGGGAAGCTTTTGTCCCGCAGCGGGATTGATGAGCGCTGTTCGTAACGACGATGACCATGAGTTGGAGGACGACGCTGCCGCCGCTGCCGCCGCTGCCGCCGCTGCCGCCGCTGACGCCATCCCGAGCGCGTGGTGACCGGCCCGTGACTCCGCCGAGAGAGAAAGAGAGAGGGTGAAACGCGACGCGGCCAAAATCCGCGTCGCGTTTTACCCAAAGCCGGCGCTGATCCCCGGGGCACCGCCCGCCAGGCCTCCGCTGGGTCTCTGCTAATTCCGTTAGCCCGGGGGGGTCAGCGAGAGGTTGAGTCAGCCCCGGGTCAGCGAGATCCTTCGGTCCCGGGAGCAAACCGGAGAGAGTGCCACCGCCCCTCCGCCCCCTAATGAGCACTTAATCACCGACCCCCGTCCCCCATCCCCCATCGACAGATTCCTCCTGGTTTCAATTCGCGACTGCTCTGTGCCGAGCCGCATCACGACGGGTGCGGCCACCGATGTGACAATTCCGAACGGGCCCAGGGAGTGGCTGCGGTCAGCAGTCTGCAGACCGTGGACCACGGATTCGAATTGTCTTGTAAAGCCATTCACCGATGGGGTCTCTATGTGTGTATACGAGTCTCTGTGCAACTCTATGGGTCTTGATAATAATAATTACTTACAATTGTAAAGCACCTTTCACCCGGAGGTCACTGTTCAAGACAACAACAAGAAAAGCCGCCATTCCCCACCAAGTGGCGGTGACGTCTCCATGGCGCCTGTGCCAGGCTAGGTGCACTCCGAGGCCACGTAAGGCTCGCTGGCAGATCCAGGTGCCATGGATTGTACTGATTGAGACGAGTGGCAGATACACCAACTGTTCCCCTCCCCCTCCCGCGTGCCCCTACTGTGCCAACTTGCTGCGTTTTATCCGCCCGGGTGCTCCGCTCGTTGTTGTGAGCGTCGCTCCTCTGCCCAGACGCACGCACACACACGCGCGTGCGAGTGCGGGGGCTCAGTCCAAAAGAATCCAACCCCAAAAACAAAGTATTCAAGAAATAGAAAAACGGCCCAAAAACAAGTTGTGTCTCCACGCTACGTTTTGAATAAAGCGGGGGGGGCAGCAGAGCGAACGTCCATTGGAGGTGAATCTCACATCCTGGTGGTGGGGCCCACGCGAGGAGAGGTCACCCATCGTCATCGCGCGTGACCTCGGCACGCACAAAGCATGCCACACTTGGAAGACCCGGAGCAGTCTTGATGGAGCATGTGGTCGGAGGAGATCCTCTCTATATGAGGTAGCAGCATCATTGAAGGCCTTGCAAGCAAGCAGAAGAATGTGTTGATACTCTTCCCAAGTCTATGAGTCTTCATGCGAGTCCATCGCTCTCAATGCGAGTCTATGGGTCTCTGTGTGAGTATACGGTATGCTGCGTGAGACTGTTTATGTATGTTGAACTTCTTTCGCACCGTACGTAGCCAACCGTGCTAATCAGAGGTGCGGGGGAAGGAGAACACACTGAACACATAAAACTGACCTATGGGTCTCTCGGTGAAATCTATGGGTCTCTACGAGTCTATGGGTCTCAATGCGAGCCTACGTAATTCTGTGCGAGTATATGAACAAGGCCCCGTGCCAGTTTGTATCTCAAACGACGGACCGCACCGTGACACCGCTGCCCACTTCCATCGCTCGCCGGCACCGTTTCAGATATCGCCACGAGGCTGCCCCTGAAGCCGTCGGTCACCAACCTCCACATCGGCGATGCACAGCTGTTGAGGCGGTGCAGGCGGTGCTCCTGCACCTAGGATCACGTGTCCAGCTTGGCCCAAGTGCTGGGGTAACAGGGGGGAGAGGAGGAGTGGCCCATTTAATTCCTCGCTTCAGCTCCCCATGCTCAACTGCAGTCTGCCAGTGCCTCAACGTGAACGTTTCAAAACGCCCCCAATCAACGCTGGGCCGCGTGACAGAAGGAGAGGTAAGTGAGATCGGAATGTCAATGAGATCACGGAGTGGATGCATCTCTCCCCCGAATGGGGACGACGCGAGCTTATCTCTCTCCGCGCCCTTTCTTCGGAGCCACTCAACTCGGCCTGACGCTTCGAAGCTTAAAAAAAAACTATTTTGTTATTTTACCACGTGAAAGGCCCACTGAGCTGCGTAGCTATTTTTCAGAAGCGACCCGGCCATCACAAATGATAGCTGGACAAAATGGGCTCATCGTGCGGCAATGTACAGCAGCCACATCCTCTAAACGCACGTTGATTGGAAATGTGGAGGGGGGAAAAGCGGAGGGGCCTTCAGAGTAAAAATCCGACACAACCACGGGGATAGAGGCATGCGAACTCCAAATATACAGGCATCAGGGTTGGGATCAAACCCACGATCTCCTGTGTACCAGGCGTGGTAGTTAATATCTCGCCATTGCATGCCTCACCACAATCCTTAAAAAACTAAATTTTGTTTCGATTTAAAGCTTTCGTGACTGCAAGGATTAATATTCTTGGTTCTTCTTGGTTCACGACGTTTCGGCCACAACACAAGTAGCCTTCTTCTTGTGTTGTGGCCGAAAGGTCGTGATAATTTTATTGTCTTATTTTGTTTTATTGTTTTATTCTCATTCTACGTGACTTTACCGAAAGAACCAAGAAGATGAATATTTTTTATTTCAGTAGGTGTAAGACCCACGGAGCCGCGTAGCTCTTTTTCAGAAGCGACCTGGCCATCACGATATGGTAGCTCAACGACGTGGGGCTTATTCGCGCGGAAACTTACAGCGGCCAAAAACACTCTTAAAACGCGTGACATCGATTCGGAACGCGGAGGGGTGGATCCAGAGGGCCCCTTGAAACATTCACGCGGAATCAGACAGAGAGAGAGACGCCGCAAACTCCACGCGTCTGCGAGCCACTCGCGCGTGCGGGGGCCAAGGTGGCAGCGAGCGCCGGCATCGAGCGCCGGTCTCGGGAACGTTCGAGGGTTAACGCCGGAATTAATTACGCGCTAATGACGCCGCCTTCAGGGTTTCGAATGCCATTTGTAGATTTGCGACGGAGCCGTGGAGAGGGAGGGGAGCGACGCGCGTGCGGCGCCCTTTACGCCGGCGCTCATCGCTGGCGTCGCCGTCGGCAGCCGTGGTCTATCCGCTGTTGGATGGAGGCGTCTCCCAGTCCGTCGCCATAGCGTACGGTAACAGCGAGAGCCCGCGTGCGAGATTTAAGCGCCAGCAGGACGATGACGACGACGATGATGACCGGACGCGTAACAGATGCATCGGCGCATCAATTGCTATCGGTTCATGAGCTCGCGAGAGAGGCATTGCATCGCGTGGGAAATGATTCATTATGTTCTCTATGTGGTGTATGTAATGGGTTCAGGTGGATCGATCCCGTCGAAGCTGATGGAGAATCGAGAGCCTGAATTGTGACCAAATTTGACGCGTTGCTGAAGGAGCGAAAAGTCACACCTCAATTGGCGACGTTATCATTATCATAATCAGCCATGATTTATCCACTGCTGGATGAAGGCCTCCCCAAGCCGCCTCTCACTGCCACGAGGCGCAACGGTCCATCTGGCTCCTGTCGCGCACGAGCCGATGTCCCCGCTCCCTCCTTTGGCTGTCACTCCGTCGTCACCCGCGACCGCTGGACATCATCCTGCAGCAGCAGCAGCGATGTGGCCTGCACAACGCCACTCGCTTCTGCATGTAGGGCGGTATGGACGGCGTGGTTATAATGGTGTTAAACGTCGCCTAGCTTTGTTGAATGTCAACCGTTCTAGGCTTGGGCAGAGCACGGTCACGGGCACCGCGGTGGCTAGGAGATGTTAACTCCTTCTCCTGGTGTGCAGGAGGTCGTGGGTTCGATACCGAGCCTGACGCCTGCAGAGCTTGCGTGTTCTGTCTCTACCCGTGGTCACGTGGATTTTTCTCAGGGTCCTCCGGTTTTTTCCCCCTCCACATTTAGAATTAAGCATCACGCTTTTTGGCTGCTACACATTTTCACACGATGTCAACGAGCCACTTCGTCGAGCTATAATTTTACGACCAGGTTGCATGTGAAATAAGAGCTACGTAGCTCAGTGGGGCCTTGCCTGGTGAAATACAAATCGGTTAGTTTATATATTTAATAGTCTAGAAGGGACCGGTGGCAGCCAAGGAATCGGAGTGCGTCTGTGAGGACGTCCACCCAAGAGATGGAGCGATGGAGGAATCAGCTCCTCGTGTATAGCAGGTGCCGGGTGGAGCGTTGCATTGTGGGATCGTGAGAGGTGGCGGCTGCGGTAGCTTGGGGAGGCCTTCAGCCAGCAGTGGATTGACCATGGCTTATGATGATTCAGAATTACTTGATTTAACCCAGGTTCGCCCTCAAGAAAGAGGCAATGTATCGCGTGTACTTAGGGGCCGTCCATAAATGACGTCACGCACCTAGGGTGTGGTCAGACATTTAGGACAATGTGTGACGAGAGGGGGGGATTGAGAAATGTGACGTCACATCAAAATGCGCAACTTTAAATAAATATAGACAACACGTTCTACTTAACTAAATAGACTTTTTAATAAAAAAAAAGTCTATCAGAGTGCAGCGCCACATTAAATACGCACTGCAATGACAATAGTTTAAAGCGATTTGAAGCATGTTTTATATGGGGGGGGGGGGGGGGGGCAGAGCTTTGTGACGTCATATTTGAGGGGGAGGGGGTCTGACTTTTTGTGAAGCCGTGTGACGAAGGGGGGGGGGGGGTCAAAAATCGCCCAAAATCGCGTGACGTCATTTATGGACGGCCCCTTAATCCCCAGTGGCTAATTAAGGGACATGATCAATCGATCACTCCAAGATTTGTTACGTGCGGCAATGTTCAGCGGAGAACTGAGACGGTGTCGCCGATGGCAGCGAGGAGACTTTAACTAAATGTAACCTTCATGAGACGGAAGAGAGAAACTTCTGCTACAGTATCCGGCCGGGTGGTTTGAGCGGTGCAACGAAACGGCTCCCAATCGGAAGGTCGGGAGTTTGAATACTGGTTGGGGGGTGGGGTGGGGGGTGTGTGGGTTGGGGTGGGGGGTGGGGGGTGTGGTGGGTGAGGGGGTGGGTGGGGTGTGTGGGGTGGGTGAGGGGGTGGTGGGGTGGGTGGGGTGAGGGGGTGCTGGGGGTGGGTGAGGGGGTGCTGGGGGTGGGTGAGGGTTGGGGGGTGACTCAGCCCATTATCCCCTCCCTCCGGGAGTCGCTAAAACGTGTCCCACTTGGCAGGGAAAAGCAACAGTGGTTGTCCTATGGATAGACTCGCCCCCACCACAGGAATGTGTAATTTCCAACACCGGGCCCTGCAGGACTTGCAAAACAGATGAGCACCAACGCCTCGATGCTCAAATGAGCGGGCACCGACTTTGACTCTCTTCACCTCCGACGCGAGCGATTCTCTCTCTCTCTCTGCGTTGTTGATTTCATCGGTCGCGCCACCTCCGCGCGGAGCAAAACGGCTGCGGCAGCGGCGCCGCCGCCGCTGCCGCAGCCGCGGGGGTCAGCGGCTGCTTCCCGACACCCAAACTCGGCGCATCTCGACGCGGGAGTGGGGTACAGGACGCGCGCGTCCTCGTCCTCGTCGTCGGTATTTTTAGACGACGCCTCAAGTCGCTTTCGGAAGTCGCCGCCCCACAGCGCCTGGGCCGCGCCGTCAGCGGTCGGCCGCCCGCGTCCATTCGCAGGCGTGGCGCGGGGGGACACGGGCGGGACGGTTTCACCTGGGCGAAGCAAACCAACCCTGCGAACGCGCCTCCCCCCCCCCCCCCACCTCGGAAGCTAAGCAGTCTTCAGCATGCTCAGTGGCGTGACTTGATATCGAAAGCGGTGATCTCACGCAGGCATAACAGGCGCTATAGGCTGCGGGAGAGCTTTGTCAGAGGCCGGCAGCTCAGCAGCAATGCGCTTGAGCGGCTGACCACGGCGCAAAAGAGCAAACGTCTCGGGCTTCTGCTGGGCTATATTTTGATTTGAAGCTTTCGTGACTGCAGGAATCCATACTTTTTGGTTCTTTCGTTAAAGTCACCTCGGTAGAAAAAAATTAAATAAATCACGACGTTTCGGGCGCAACACGTGATGACGGACGCTTGTGTTTCGCCCAAAATGTCGTGATTTATTGTATTTGATGCCTACGTGACTTTACCGAAAGAACCAAAGAGTATGTGCTATAAATTTTGATTTAAAGCTTTAGTGACTGCAGTAATTCATATTCTTAGCTCTTTCGGTAAAGTCACGTTAAAGGGAAACAATAAAATATATATAAAACAATAAAAAAAATTCTCACGACGTTTCCACCATAACACAAACGGTCATCATCAGGTGTGAAAACCAACGGCGAGAAACATTTGAAAGAAGTGGCGGGTTTTATTTATTTATTTTTAAGCGGTGTTTGTATTATTTATTTTTAAAAAAAACGTTAGCACCACGGGCAGCGATTTGGCAGTCTGTTTAGAAGGACGAGTCCATCTATGTTCTGAAAAGAGGAGGGGGGAGACGAAAAATTAATATATGCTGTCTGAAAGCCACCGTAAGCGTGAACAATAAAATCAGACCTGAAATGGTTTATCAAATCCTTCCAATGATTGCTAAGGCAGAATCCATCTTCTCGGTCGAAATTGTCTCTGTGCTTATATATGTGGATAGCCTGTAAGCGTGAACAATAAAATCAGACCTGAAATGGTTTATCAAATCCTTCCAATGATTGCTAAGGCAGAATCCATCTTCTCGGTCAAAATTGTCTCTGTGCTTATATATGTGGATAGCCTGATGAACGAATCTCTCATGGTAGCCAGATGGCTTGCAAAGAACCTCTGTCT